TTCCTATTCTCTCCGGAACTAGAGTGCACACTGCAACATGGGCAAGCAATGAGCCATTTGAGAATTAGCGCCCGGCTGTACTCCACTCTGGTTGCCGCCATGGTCGGTAGCGCCTCCCACCTATGAAATGGCAAGCAAGGGCATCTAGAGCATGGTTTAGGGCCCTAAATCACCGGAACATAACACCAGGTGACTCTTGCACTCAAAACAAGATGTCGAGATCTCGCTTCGCGCGCGTGCTTTGCCATTGACATCGCGTCTCGCCAGGCCCTGCACGGGTTGGAGCTCCGAAGGCTTGTCATCAGGAAGTCGGGCATGGATGCACCATTTGGCCTCGCTGCCTGCGGCTCTTGAAAGGTTATCTGATGCAGCCTTTCCACGGGTACAGACTTCACGCTGGGCGAAGCCGTGCTCTTGGCAGGTCGTTTCGCTCCTTTCCCGGGAGGAGGCTGTCTGTCGAACGCTTCGAGCAGATTCAAGACCCTTAATTTTCCTAAAATCCCTGTCTACAAACCAATCGGTACCATCTTGCATAAACTTTATGCCGCCTGTACAAAGCGCAATCGAAAAAATTCTGCTCGCCGATTTGCAAGAAATCATGACCATTGCCAAGGCTTTGTAGTAGCAACCAGCCTCAACCCAGAATGACACATGGTAGTTTCCCTAAATGAGGCGGCGTCAAAATTACTTGTTTGTTCTCTCTTGGTTTTTGAATTAGGGCGTCCCCTATCGATTTCCACGTTTTGGGGATCTTNNTATAGTTTTAGGACGTCCCCTATCGGTCTTGGGGATTTTTGCGCAACAACTACCGGGGGACCCCAATATAGACCCCCAAAACACTATAATCCTTATTTGGGGACCCCCAAAAGCTTACCCCTACCCCCACATCTAATGGGGGAAGGGAAGCAGCCTGCCAGTTGCAGTGGTTGTATAGGGGGTAGATTGGGGTTGTATTGGGATAATGGAAAGGAAAATGGAAACTACTATATAGGGCTATATGGGGGGTACATTGGGATAATGGAAGAGAAAATGGAAACCACTAGCTAAGGGTTTAGGATCTGAGGGTTTCCCAATATTAGGGGTATTCAGCGGTCCCCTGGCAGTAGTTGTGGCTGTTGTTGTTTTGTCCTCAGTCTTGGTATAGCCCCGCAGTGAACCGAGCTTTAAGCTCACCAGCAACAGGCCCTGAGATAGACCCTTATATACTTGAATCCCTGCGCTGGGTGCTCCCAAAAAGGGACTTGTGTTTTTTTGGGAATTCTAAGCCCTACATTACAAACCACTAAGTCAATATATAATCGCCGCATATGGCAACCTCAACGTCATTTTCCTGTTTCTTTGCCCTATGACTCCAAACCCCCTACCCTATAACCCTGCCACCCCCCCGCCCCTTTTTAGCCCCCTACGTCCGAATTCAAAGGGCCCATTCCTGACATTCCTGTGGCCCCCCTTAGCCCTAAACCCTAAACCCTTAGCCCCGCCCTTAAGTAGATAGAATATGGGGATCTTATAACATACCCAAAACCATATTCTATCTACTCAAGGGATACTATAAACCCCAAAACTCTCAACCCTAAATTAGTAGTTTACATGTTCTTCTCCATTACAACCCCAAAATACCCCTAATATTCTATCTACTTAACGAGGACTATAAACCCTAAACCCCTAAGCCCTAAACACTTAACCAAGCCACAGCTTCCAAGCAGGCCTGGCACAAATGGCCTCTGCGAAGCTCTGCGGCACCATGGGCTGGAGTGCCTTGCTATTTGGGACTAGGGATATACACGGTTACAAAGGGGCATGGGGATATATGTATATGCTCATATAGAGTTATATAAAGGGTTACATAGGGATATGTAGGTTTCAGTGTTCTAAATTTCAGGGGGTCCTTTTCCCAATAGTGGAGAATCAAATGCATGAGACAAAATCGACAGTGAGATAAGCTTTAGGGATTCTAGGCAACCATATTACAAAACTACGATAGAAATACAAGGAACTGTGGGATGCCACTTCCTTAGCTTGTTTGGGATGTCTACGAATATCAGGCACATTCATCGACCTCATTTGGGGGATCGATTGGGGCTCCCATGCTTGTGGCATAGTTTTGCTGCGACTCGCAGAAAAATCATTGTCCAACTGACCTTGGTGAGAAAAGATTTGGCATTGCAAGTGGCGTTGGATCACGCAGATTCAGTCTTGCCGCATGTGCGGCATCCGTAGCTGGCACACAGAGATGAACCTTTGCTTGTTGGCATGAACGTTGTGCAAAAAACTCGGTTTTGAAAGATCCGACTCTGCATTTGGATCTCCATGATCGCTGCTGTCGCCCGTTAACGCCTGAGAAACTCCTCTTGAAATAACCATTCTCCCTTCGAAGATCCCTGCTCAACAACCCTCATTCCCCCCATCAATCATGCACAATCCACTGTAACCCCATGTGAATCAACTCGGACCAGCCTGACCCGGCCCCGTTTTACTTTAGCCACACACCTCTTCCTGGTTCTTAGTAGGGAATATGGGAACACAGTACGTACGGATAATATAGGGATTTTATTTCCCTATGCCCTAGTCCCTTGAGCCTATTCCCAAGTCTGAGCTATCAGCGCTCTCCAGCTGCAGAAACTCCTGGAAAATCACAGGAGAAGAAACAGGAGGGATCCTCAGACTGCTATGCCTTGGGGATGGATCCGAGAGATATGTGGAGAATACTGAGAAGTTGTGGGGGTTCAGGGTTATTCTGCAGGATTCGGTAGGGGTTATATTGGTCACGTAGCTGCCCCTACATGGGGGTTGTCCAATATTCCTTTACCTGAAACCCACGCTCTCGCCGTGCCTTTCGCGGACCTTTCGCGGCCCAAGGAAAACCCATAAAAGCTTCATCTGACCAAACTTGTTCTGAAAATATCTTCTTCCCCATGCAACTTCAAGTAAGATTGCGAAGGTGAAGTTACATGACATCAGATAGAACACAATGCTAGCCGGCAAGGAGCCAAACCATTCCCAGGACATCGTTGAACAACCTCTGGCTTATTCAGGTTATGTTACCCTTTCGCCGGCCCTTTCGCCGTGCTTTCGCGGATCTTTCGCGACCACAGAAAAACCCAGATTTTGCTTGTCACATGGTCCTGCTTTATATAAAATGTAAAGGAGGGTTTGCCCCCACATGGTGTTCCTTGATTAGGCAACATTCGGCTTTCTGAGATCGGCTCCTCATAGGAGCCTCCATGCCAAAACACACTTCGAGAAGACTGCAGCTTAACTAACTGAGCTTCAGCTAAACAATATTCGTCTAAACAGTAACTGCTTGATTCAGATGGTGTGGCAACATTCGGCTCTCTGAGAAGTTTATGTGGTTTTTGTGCAGCCGGAATTCCATTCCCACGATATCTGGGAGGTTTCTCAGCCGGAATTCCATTCCCACGGTATTTGTAAGGTTGGTGCGCAGCCAGAACTCCATGGTACCCCGGATGTCCATTCCCAGGATACTTACTTAGGAGGTTCTTCAGCGGCAAATATTCAGTGGGGTCATGCATGGAGGATCTGTGACCCGGGAGTTCGCCAGGTTTTGGCCTTGGCTGGATGTTCAGTAGATCTCAAGAATCCCAAGCTATCCATCGCCAACCTCGTCTAAAGCCGCTAGGAGATTTACGAGCAGCCGGAATTCCATTCCCACAACATTTTCAAGTTTGTCGAGCAGCCTGAATTCCATTCGCAATGTGGAGGTTTCGGGTAACTGATCCATTCCCACGATATTTACGAGGTTTCTCAGCCGGCATTGCATTCCCCACAGTATAGGCCAGGTTTTCGAGCAGCCGCAATTCCATTCCCACGATAATTGCAGGGTTGTCGAGACGATCTTTGTGAGGTTTTGCTTCAGAGTCAGAAGGGCTGGAAAGCCCTAGAGAAACAGGGATTGGATAGCCCCTCCAGCAGTGTGCAAGGCTTTGGTATTGATCTTTATGCGGATGTTCTATTATTTCAGGTGGGTTATTCTATTGATGTTCTATTGATTGTTTAGGTGGATGTTGTATTGAAATTCTATTGATCTTTATGCCGATGCCAATGTGGATGTTCTATTCATTTTATGCGGATTTTCTATTGGTATTGTATTGGCTTGCATGCGGATGTTCTATTGACTTTTGAGCGGTGTTACTGTTCTATTCATGTCGATGTTCAATTGATGCTGCTCAGGGTTGCCCATTCGATTGAAAACAAGATGAATCGATCTTTTCGTACAAAAACCTTAGCCCATTGATTTTGAAACTTTCTATCTTCTTTTACTATTGGTTGCTCCGGGCGCATTCAATTCCCACGATATTTAGGAAGGTTTTCGAGCAGCCGGAACTCCATTCCCACGACATTTGCAAGGTTTTGGGTACACGGGTTCCCCGAGCTTGTATTCCCACGGCTTGTGCAAGGTTTTCGAGCAGCCAGACTGGAATTCTCCACGATATTTGACCTCGGAATTCCATCGTTTACCAGGTTTGGAGCAGCTGGATTTCCTTTCCCCGGTATCTTGCATTGTTTTGAAACCCGTATTTCCATTCCTACGAAACTTGCAAGGTTTTCGAGCAGCCAGAGTTACATTCCCACAGTGTTTGCCAGGTTTCGAACAAACGGAATTCCTTTCCCGCAGTATGCGCGCGGTTTTTGAGCAGCCGGAATTCCGGCTTCGGGCGGACTCCTGGGACCCGGCTGGAGGCCGGAAACATCATTTCAGTCGTGCTATGCTAGAGGAATCATGGAGCAGGTTCCCGGGAGCACGAGCGGGGGTCGCGGTAGATCGTCCGGAAACGTCATCTCCTGATACTATTATTAGGGGAATGCTTTCAGCACACTGCAGGTGACTGGTGGTCAGGTGAAATCTGAACAAGCCTTAGCTACCTAGCATAGTCTACGTTTATTTGAAGAGAGCTTGGCACTTCCAAGGCTGCAAGAGATCCCACACTTGCGAACCACAGTATGACTCTTGGGCAAGAGATACTGCTTCTGCACCTTGCCTGCACTTTCTGATCCTTGTCTCCGTTCGCACCGTTTGGCGGTGCCTCCTTAGCACGACGTCTGAATCAGGCTAAGCTGAGGCCGCATGTTTGCAATGTGGCTGAGACGTTGCTACTGGGTCTTCGTTTAGCACATCGTATTTGCGCATGGCCTTTGCATCACAATGCAAGCACTGGGGCGATGATGCTAATGAATTGCGGGCTGGGTGCCTCCACCTGGGTCTCGTGGTATCTTTTCATCAGAAGCGCATGGGCTTGGTAGATCTTGAGCAGAGGGCCCCTGATTGTCAGGGTCTGGCCCTCGTTACCATCCTGTGCAGGATCGAAGTGAATGTAGGTCCCAGTCTTCTTGCCTGCAGACTCACAAATAGCTTGGCATGTTTACTCGTGCTCTCCACCAATCAGTCACCACCAATCAGTCACCACTCCCTTGAGCTGGGCCCTCCGGCGGATCCTCTGCACATCCTCCCCGCGCTTACCGATGAGGAGCCCTACCTGCTGCAAACAAAACATGCGGCATTACGGCATGAAGTAATCAACAGGATGGATTGGGCGCTATTTTGAGATGCAGCCTTCTCACGCGGCAGCTCACAGGTGATGGTGTACTCAGCATCCAGGGTTCCTGCGCGCAGCTTTAGGGACCCCACCTGCTCCTACCATTCATTCACAAGGAACCTCGTGGAAAGCCCTGCGCGGTGGAGCTCAGGGCAGAGAGGAGGTCGGAGTCCTCATCGCCACTGCTGCTCCTTTGCAAAACTGAATGTCACCACGACCATAGTGCTCTGACATCTAGCTTGATAGGTTGAAGCGATTCAACCCTGCACCGGATCATGATCTGGGCACGAAGTACACGCGAATACATGCACACGTTTGCCAGCAGACGTGCAGATGTGCACGTAGCACAAACTCCAACAAACTTGCGCAAATCTGCAGGGAGGGCAACAAGAGCAGTGCCCTGGAAGTTACTGTGCGCAAACTCCTTTGGTCGAGACCCTCAGAAACTTCACACAGCGGCAATCACATACCAAGGGGCGCGGGCTGCGGCGGGTTCACTACGCTTCGAGGCCCGGCTCGCTGCGCGGGCGCGCCTGAAAAAACATAAGAAAATGAAAAAATGCGAACAAGGGTCGCCACATTTCAGACGTACGTGCTGAAGTCTTGCGAAAGTATTCTGAAATGCAATTTTACAGTAGAAGCAGCAACCTTCTGCCTGGGCCAAATCCAACGATGAAAGAGCTACCAACTCTTTGCCTGGTCCTCTCGGAGTTCGCTCGCGCTCATCTGGCCATTCAGATCCTTTGCCGTGGTTTGCGTGGCCATGACCACCATGTCCGGCGTAGCTGATGCCAGTCTCCGCAGGAGATGCATAAATTGGGTTGCCCGCACCATCAAAGCTCTTGACAGTAGCCCATTCCACGTAGCTGGGAGTTCCATGTTGCTCTTGCACGTATTGGTTGACTCTGCTAAGAGCAATTTGCAAGCCATGCGGCTCGCCAACGATTTTCACTGTCTGATGCCCAGCAGTTATGTTGGGATCAATGACAACCTTGGATCCAGACTCCTCCCGAATCGCGCGGGCATTGCTGCCTTTTGGACCAATGATGGCCGATGACATCTGCTTTGTGACCACGCACCGAACAATGTAGCTGCCGCGATCCATTCCCACGAAGTCTGCTTCGGCGCTAACCGCCTCTTTCGCACCGCATTCGACAATGTCACCAATCACATGCTGCATCACGCCAAGAAATGCCTGTGCGCCATTGGGGTAACAAAAAGGTTTAAGTCTTTTTGGACCCCTGCCTCAGGGTTGTCGCTGTAAATCAGCAAGACTCGATAGCGCGTGCCAGGGAAGCACTCGTCACGGCCACTGACCACGATTTTGCAGCCCATCTCGTTCTGGAGCTGCTCCTTGCATAGCTGTGCTTCACTCAAGCAACTGAGCTAATGGCCAACCCTTCTATGTCCATTATGCCTGCTTACAGTGCATGGCACCCTAGAGAGCAAAACTGCTTGCTTCATCGCAGCCATGGCAAGGAATGTCAGATCCACGTGCGGTGGGCTTTGACAAGGGTCCTTGCGAGTGCCACCCTTGCCCATGATTCTGGCGACCAGCTCATTGGGACAAAGGGCCTCAGCGACAAACACGTCGTAGCACCATGAACCTATCCTGTGCTGGGTCTTGTGCTGCTTTGCTTCACTGGCGTCAGATGCGTCACTGCCTGGCCTTGAAAGCGAATCGGCGCATTCCTTTGCCGCCATCGCCGTAGCCCATGGCAAGTGTTAGTGAGAAAGACAGAATCCCGTGTCACAGTTGTATACCTCTTGTTGATTTCATTCTGGTAAGCGCTGGGCCTAAGCCTCTGTACTGTGCATGCTGAGGTGTGTTGGTTTCTTGTAGTGGTGGCAAGACTTGCTACGAGTTTCAGGGGCATAGATGAATACTAGAGTGCTGTTACCAGTTGGCTGGAGCAGCTTACCATGTCCTTCTGCAATTTAGGGCCAACGTTGCCTGCGCGACAGGCCCACCGTATACTTCGGCCAAGCTACCAAGCCTTTGCCAAAAGATGACACTAAAGCAGACAGCAGTCCACCTTGGGAGGACGGAGATGTGATGCCTAGCAAGCACGTCGGCAGTCGTGTGAAAGTGACACAGCCCATCACTGGCCTTCCCACCAAAAGAATCACGTCAGAACGGAAGAAAGGGATGTGTAAAAAGTGCGCACAAGTGTGCCAAGCCTCGGCCCTGAATTCAAGTCGCAACCGCTGCGTGCAGTGAGAGAGCTGGATCAGAAGGATTCAATTCAGGCATTCTGGGGCCCTGCAATATCACGTGCAGAAATGCTTCGGGCCTGGAGCTGAGCGCTGCTGTGACTCCATACCAAGGGCTGCTGGCGAGGCCTTGTCTGACACATGTTCGCAAAGGACATTGTTGAGCAGCTGCGTGTTCAACACCCAGACCAGGCGCAGCATCTGAGTTTGTTTCAAACATCGGTGTGTGTACTTGGTTTCTGCTCCTCTAAACTCGGAGACGAAGTACAGCGTGCTTCCGCAACGGCAGCTTCAGCAAAGCCGCAAACAATGCCGGAAACATCCAAACGCGCACATGGGCTTTGAATTTCTGCTTCCACAGTGATGCAATGCTTCGGCCAATCTGCAAAACGTTCCGTTTATTCCAGGTCACAACCCACAAATGAGACAAGCGTACAAGGGATTTCCACTTGCATGTTCGACAGAATGTGCGCACGGTTTCTGCTAAGAGCAGGTCAGCCTGACGTGATGGCAAAGGCAGTGCCGGGCCCTGCGGGTGTAGAACGATGTGACGCTTGAGACATCCCTGGAATCTCACTCCAAAAGCATTTGTCTGGCACAGTGCGCAAACAACGCTGACTACAGTCCAGAAGAGTCGTGGAGCCGACTCTACTACCGAAAAAACATGCAGCAGCAAAGCAGCTCCACGAACTGTGCCCACGGAGCATGAGGTGACACGTTAGAAGCAAGCAGCCCACAAAGTCAGTCACACGACGACAAGCTTCTGTCAGAGTGCCTTCGCTTCTGGAGGTCCTGCCGAACTGACTGTGGATGATGGTTCCTTGAGACGAGCAAACGGCTTTAGTTTGGTGGCGCTTGAAGCAACATTGGAAGCAAGGGAACGGGCCAAATCAAAATGATACTTGGCTGCTGGTCAAGCATCGCAGCGACCTTCTGAGACGTGCCTGGTCGGCTCGGCGCTGGCTGGACTCTCCTTCCGGCTGCTGTCGAAATCCTCGGTGCTGCATTCCACCTCTGTCATTTACTGCCGGACAGTTGCGTTATCGAGGTGACTCTTCTTCTGCCAATTAAGCTTGATCGTAGGGAGCTGACCTCGTTCGGCTGGAGGAGGGCCTTCGACATGGGCTGCAGTGCTGGGTAAGTCTATGACTGACGAAGCTGCTGCGTGATCCCACTTTGAAGCCATACTTACTTCCAGCCAAATGGAATCGGAAGACACTGCCCTAATAAATGCGGAGATGCTGTTGACAGTCAGTGTATAAGTTCCGGACGAAGATCCGACTTGATTCCTCAGGGAAAGAAATCCAGTCCAATGCGCAGGATCAAACGAAAGCAAGGTGGCAGCATGGTATGGCCTCCTTCGGGGGCAAAATTCGAGGAGCTGGCATGCCTGCCATGATCATATTGGGACAGGCAGGGCAGCATGATGACACTTCCTGTTGTTGAATGCATGATAATGCATGCAGTACGAAGGACGTACGAAAACGAAAGAGAGGACGACGACCATGAGCATGAGGAGAAGGATGAGGAGGAGGAGGAGGAGGACAACGGCGAGACGAGCACAAAGATGGCCACATCCACGTCCATGACAACCGCTTCGACGACCACGAGCACGTGTCGCCACTACTACGTGACAGCAAAGACTACGACTCTGCCGGAGCACTAAAGGGGCAGGAAGCAGAAACGTGCTCCCTACAAAGGTCATTTCAGTGCCGAAGCCGGCAGGCTCCCTCCCAAGCTTTGACAAAGGCTTTTAGAGAGGGCTTCGAAGGATGAAGTCGTGGGAACTCCTCAGGACAGCTTCAGGGCTCTGGGAAGCTCTTGGACATGCCCCTGGAAGGAAATCCTTCGTGGGGTTTTTGAAGGGGTTTTGAATGGTGGCAGTAAGGGATTTTAGAACCCATTTAAGCCTTACAAAACCCTATACATAGACCGTATTGGCTCCTTAATCCCTGCGAAGGGTACCTTTGGAGGGAGAACTATTGTAACCCCTTAGGAAGGTGCCTTTTGGAAGGCGACCCCTCAGAAGGCTCCTCAGAAACCGCTCCAAGGCGGGCAGTGCTTGGAGGCTACTCAGATACTACTACTACTACTACTACTACTGCTACTACTACTACTACTACAACTACTACTACTACTACTACTAGTAAGTACATTCTACATAATTGACGACTCGTTTTCTAGACATAATCTTCTTGCTTTGTAAATTTTAGAGGCAAATTCGATAGTATTTACAGCACTTTTGCGTTTCCTTCCCGTCTGTTTTGCACTTTTACAGCCTCCCGTTGCGAGGGCCGCATTTTCGTGTTGTTGGATGTTTTTCTTTCTTTGAAAGCGCTTTCGTATAGGTATTTACAGCATTTTCTTCTCCGTGACGTT